GTACAAGCCATGGCACCAGCATTTCCCAAGGGCTTGGATCCAACTCAGGGTCTCCCACTTGTGATGATGCTCTTGACTACCCTCTCCCTCTCCCTCCCTCCAATCAACTTCTCAAATGGTGTAACGGGCACAGTAGCCACCTTTTACTACAATAACTTACTTAACACGCGGTTAAATATTTTATACACAAGAAAAGGAGACCTCAGCTTGCCACTGACGTCGTGTTCTTTAATTTTCCAGGAAATTTCTCCAAGTAGTCACTGGCCTCATTTGTCCCTGTCATTCCACTTTGAAGTGACCTGTCACCGATTACTCTCAGAATTCATGTGTAGAAAATGAAGTAGGCAACACATTTTAGATGCCTCAGCTGGTAAAGTGCCTGCCACACAAGCATGGACTCCCGAGTTCCGATCCTTAGTGTCCACATGAAAAGCCAAGTGTGGTGGCATGCTGGAGGGGACAGACACAGGATGATCCCAGGGTCTTGGACAGGTCCGTCTAGCTGAAACTGCAAGCTCCAGTTTCAGCAAGAGACTCTGTCTCAGAAATAGCAAGAGACTCTATCTCAGAAATAAGCCAGAGAGCCATTGAAGATGTAGAACATGCATCTACATGAGCATTCATCAGCAAGCCCCCCTGCATGCACATAGCTCACAGTCTGCAAAAACGCAGCCACGCCTCTGGAAGAAACTGTATTTTCTCTGTGAGCCCTCTGTGTGCCATAGCATAGTTCCCGCTGCTGCCTTCTCTAGACTCTTACCTGTGACCCAGCCCAGTCACAGCTTCTAGGAAGTCATGGTTTTGTGAGCAGTCAGTGCTCTTGCCCTGTCTTGTTCTCTTAATCCCACAAAGTGGTTGGTTGGGCTGTATTTGAATATTTCCATGAAACCGTAGGCTCACTGGGAACACAGCCTGCACTCATACACCCCCAGTGCTTTCCATGGCTCCTGGCTCTTGTCCGAGCACCGTCAGTATTTGCCAGAGTCCTGCAGAGAGGGCTTCATGCTCTTTATTATTTTAGAGCCTGCTTGTGACTCAGGGACCACCCCACAGCCCACCTGCCTCGCTTGTTGGCTGTCTAATTTGCCTCTAATTCAGTAGCATGACACATGGTGTGGAGATCTTTTTGGGTTTGTGTTTCTTATATTTGAGATCTTTCTAAGAAGTAGGATTACTGGCCCCAAATGAACACACTTTTTTTTTTTTTGAGCTGAGGATCGAACCCAGGGCCTTGTGCTTGCTAGGCAAGTGCTCTACCACTGAGCTAAATCCCCAACCCTGAACACACTTCTTTTGTGAGTTACGGAACAGAACTCTGAGGTCCCCAAATGGAACACAAGTCCACACAGTCACTGGTTTCTGAGTTCCCATCCTCTTTGGGTGGCATTGGCCAAGGGAGTTCTAGACATTTTCTGTGTGAATTTGATAGCAGTATAGATAGACATCACCTTAACTCTCATTTAAGCTAGCAGGCTATTCTTTAATTTTCATTTTGCTTTCTAATTTCTTTGTGAACTAGAGAAATAGAATATCCCTGCGTTTGTGTTTTCTGGTTCAACTTTCCTCTGTGTAAACTGGCCTCCACTATATCCTGACATGTGAGCTTTCTCAGCTTCCCCCAAACACTGAATCCTCCATAACCTGTGCCCCTTGTTACAGTGTGGACTGTGTTTCTCAGGCAGTCAGCCAGGACAGATTTTATGCTGTGAGTGTTCAGAACTGGAGCATCCAAGGAATTAATGGTCTGAAGGTGTAGATAAAATAAAATCCCACAGCTTGCCTGAAAACCCATGGGCACTTCTGGCAGTATCCCAGAGTCTGGCTAAATAGTAACCAGGGAGGAAGTGGCTTTGTCTCCTGACTGGCAATGTTACTGCCAACCACAAGGAAGTCCCTGAGGCACCAGCTTATTGTCATAACCAACAGTCAAGGTTGGAGATATCAAAACTTTGTCTGCCTGGGACATCCGGGGTCCACACTCCTACAAAGCAAATTTAAAATATCCTCAACTGTGTATTTTCTGGAAATCTTCCTTTCATGTTTTTCTACTGGGACATGAAGTGAGGTGACATTCTCTTCTGGTCCCATTCTGTGAGGTGTTTTTTTTTTTTTTCTTTTTCTGAAAACTGATTTTAAAAAGATCTACCAAGTGAGTTCCAGGAAAGGTGCAAAGCTACACAGAGAAACCCTGTCTCGAAAACAAAACAAAAAAAAAATGTTGAAACTAACTTAAAATCACTATTTGCCCATCACAAGTTCCAAGAAATAGCAGTTATCCTTCATGAATGAGAAAATTGTAGTTATCTAGGGAATTGTCCCCATGCCTAGATCCTGACAATGGTGTCGTAGAAGGCTTGAGAAGCCGAAATTATGACAACAATATTGAGCGCTCAGAAAGACGCTCACGTAATGTGAAAAACTTTTTGTGACTCTCTCATTCTAAGGCCGAGGAGGAGAGGGTCACACTAGGTGACTATGGTGAGTCATTTGACTTAAGCGAAGCCACATTAGCAACAATGGATTGCTTTCTTCTTCTAAAGATTGAAGCCAGGAGAGAGCAGGATGCCCAGCTGAGAGGGTAGCATTAGTGGTGTTGAGCAGCAGGGAGCGAGTTAAAAATGGCTGATGCTGAGAAAGGCAAGAAGATTTTTGTTGAGACGTGTGCCCAGTGCCACAGTGTGGAAAGGGAGGCAATCGTAAGACTGGACCAAGTCTCCATGGCTGTTTGGGTGGAAAACAGGTCAGGCGGCTGGAATCTTTCACACAGATGCCAGCGAGAACAAAGGCCTCACCCTGGGAGAAGACACCCTGATGGAGTATTTAGAGAATCCCCAAAAATACATCTCTGGAACAAAAAGGATCTTCGCTGGAATTGAGAGGCAGGGAGAAAGGGCAGACCTAATGGCTTCTCTGAAAAAAGTGACTAGCGTGTAATACCACCTGCCTTATCCATTACCAAACAAATGTCTGGTGGCTTTTAGTACGTACCGTAATTTAAGTCATACACCAGAACTCAGATCATGAATGGCTAACAATGTGTCGTGTCAGACAGTCCAGATTTAGGTAAAACTGACTTGTGGTAAAGTGGATATGACCTTTTTTAAAATAACAATTCCAGTTGCATAAAAACTGCTCTCCCTTAATCAGTAATATTCAACTTTCTAAGAAGATGGGGGTGTCACTGCAAAACCGATTGAATGGTCTTAGGTTTATGTAACTGGGCATATGAAGGTGTTTAGACACTGGGGACCTTCTCTCACTGTCTCGGGACCGAGCAGAAGATGTTTGTGCTTCAGTTTGTGTTCACTGGCCTGTTCCAGTCAGCGGTTAAACGTCAGGAGGCATCTCTCTACTCTCGGCAATGCCGATTTAATTAGAATTCCCTATGTCAAGGATGCTGCCTTTTATTGCTGAGAGGCATTTAAAGTGGTTTCTGTATGATATCAAATAAAGAGTGTTTAATACTTAAAAAAAAAAAAAAAATGAAGCCAGGCCTGAGGAGATGGCTCAGCAGGTAAGAGTGAGCCCAGCAAGCGCAAAGACATGAGTTCGAATTCCCAGCCCCCACATAAAAAGCAGGGCATGGCTGCAAATCAGCAGCCCTAGTGCCAGCTGAGGTGGAGACAGAAGGATCGCTGGGGCTTGCTGGCTGCCAGGCTAACTCCAGATTCAGGGAGAGACTGTCTCAAGGGATAAAGCAGAGAATAGCAGACGTGGCATCCAGTGACCTTTGGCCTCGGCACTCGTGTGCATGGGTCCACCCTCCTACTTGCGTGAAGCTCACACACACACACTCACACTCACACTCACACACACACACTTGAAGCCTGTGCTTGTGACTAACCCAAGTTCATGGATGGCTAAGTCATTTCACTCTCCCTTGCCTTCCTCCCCAAGCCGTAGACTTCAAGCATTCCCCGAAATAAACTGCCAGTGGACCTGCTGGAGAACGCTGTGTGTGTGGCGCGGGAGGCGGATAAGTCGTTCCGTCTTGGTTTTTGTGGTGACTAGCTCACACTTTGCCGATGGCGTGCTTTCTGCCTTGCAGGCTACCTTCTCCTCGGACTCATCGCCATGTTGGTCGTCCTGGAGACCTTCTGTGAACTCCATGAGCTGAAGAAGTTCAGGAAAATGTTCTACGTGAAGAAAGACAAGGACGAAGATCAAATTCACATCATGGAACACGACCAGCTCTCCTTCTCTTCCATCACTGAGCAGGCAGCCGGCCTGAAGGAGGATCAGAAGCAAAACGAGCCGTTTGTGGCCTCCCAGTCACCACCCTACGAGGACGGCTCTGCGAACCACTGAGCGTGGGCTACCAGACCCCGGACATGAGGCAGAGCCTTGACTGTGTCCATTTTTACAAGAAAGTCAAAGCCAAGATGATGTTATTTTAAGAAATATCTACTGTTAACAATATTTTAAAAACATGGAACTTTGGGCTCCCGGGGTGGGTGTCTAATCCCTGGGCAAATGAGATGTGTACCTGTAATTCATAGGAGACACAGTCACCTGGACAGCACATGCCAGGGATGAATACTTAAAGCAGTGTGCTGCAGTGGATGGAGGCAGATTTTATATGTAACTGGGGACTCTGGGTTTGCATTCCAATCATTTTGCCGACAGCTAAATAGCAACATTTATATTTAAAAACAAACAAAAAAATCTATAGAGATGTATTTTATAAATAGGTTTAAGTGTCCTGGCTTGCATGTACCTATCCGAAATGATTATTTTTGTAGCGTCTAAATTAACTCTATTTATAATGAATAGGTTACCATCCACTGTGTACATAGAACATATAAATATGTTTATATCCTGTACATACCTGTAGGCTGCCAGATCTCCCTGTACTTCTTAAGCCAAGATAAGGAATATTTTTTTCTTTTTGATTTCTCTTTATACTAAAGGACTCAGAATTGCCACAACAAGCTAGGAGGCATAGAAACCCAAGAGAAAATCAGTTTGCTATACTGTTACCATATATGTTTCTACCTTCTTACCATGGTGTGGGACCAGATGACCAGTGAGGGAGAGAATTTGTGAGAGAGTGAAGTATTGGTCTGGAAAGTACACCACTCTTCTGCCCACCTCACAAGGAAGCCCAGAACACGGTGAAATGCCCCCAACCAACAGATTAGGTCAGGTTAATCAGAGAAGTCTACATCTAGAAGCTGAAATCAATAAAATCATGGCAGGTTGCAATCTATGTCCGGAGTTTTCCTCTATGTCCGTTGTCTATATAGGCACTGCTTTAGAGATACTGTATAGTAACAATGCATTGGTGTGTCTGGGATATCAGGAAGGGCTATTAAAAGAAAAATCAGGAAGACCCTGTGTGATGACGGATGTTCACCGAGGCCTCTATCTTGTTGCCATGGGTCATACCCAGAGGTAATTCCCCTCACCTGATGCTGACCTGGACACACTCTGTGACTGTGGGGTGTGGTCTCCTCACATTAGGCAGCTTTCTCCCTACCACCTAAGCTCCATGCTGCCCACTCCTGCCTTATCCTTCCAACAGTGTGTCCCTGACTCAGAACAAAGCCCTTCCTCATGGCTCATGGCGTAAAGTTGCATCTTAGCTCAAAGCAAAAAAGCTCTTTTGTGTGGAGAGAGGGGGGTTGGTGTCACACACACAAAAGCCACTGCACTGGGTCATCTCTGGTGACCTCTAGTGTCAGCATGACCTTCCCAGTGTTTCTGAAACTGGGCCCCAGCTGCTCAGGAGCAGGTATTTTCCATGCTGGCCTGGCTTCTCAGAGGGTGGGCTACTCTCAAGAGACAGACAGGAGTAAGGGCAGAGCAGTGACTTCTCACAGGAGACAGCAGGTGTCATGGGCTTGGCTAAACTTGCAAAGGGCACAGAGAGTTTACTGTGTGGTGTGGTGTAGCCAGAGTCCTGAGAGGTGTCAGGGTGTAAGTCACGGGGACAGTGGGTCATGGGTTGAGTGTCTTTTCGTTTAATACCGTAGGGAGGAAAGTACTGATTCCCACAGCTTCTCAACTTTGATGTGGGTGGGAGTCCAAAGCATAGGCCACAAGAAACCACACAGAGGGTGCCAGTACTAAGTCGCCACATAGACTGAGGATCTGGCTCAGTCGATGCAGAGGCAATCATGAGTGAGGGAGAGACCTGCCCTCTTGAGAACAAACACCAGAACAACAGCGTTGGCCACTCCTTAGAGCGGTGTCCCCAGGACGTAACCACCTCTCACTAGGCTCTGCCTCTTAAAGGTCCCATCACTGAATAGCAGCACATAGGGAAAAGGCTTCCAGCACACTAACCCTTGGGGGACACGGCACATTCAAACTCTAACACTGGGATGTCTCTCTGCAGCAATCAGATCTTACAATAAATCTGAAAGCATTTGAGCAGAAGCCAAGAGGAGAAAAACAGGGGCTTTTCTGACCAGACAAATTCTGTTCAACTTTGGGAAGACAAGAAGATAGGATTTCTAAGCTACAGTCACCGTTTTCTGAAAAGCAGGTATGTTTATACGGATAAATCATATGCCTTCGGACATGGACCCAATGGACCTTTCAGGCGATTAGAAAGGCGATGTTTCGAAGTTAGAAGAATGAAAAGGAATGTAGCTGAAGTTTTCCTGTGTCCTGCCTGGCCTGTGGTCAGGACAAATCTTTCTCACCCACCAGTCCTTCAGCTGCTCAGACTCAAGTAAACACACAGAGGCTTATATTATTTACAAACTGTACGGCCATTAGCTCAAGCTTATTGCTGACTAGCTCTTACACTTAACACATAGTTCTTATTTATGTTTAGTCACGTGGCTTGGTACCTTTTCTCAGTTCTGCCTTCATATCTTGCTTCCTCTGTGTCTGGCTGATGACTCCTGACTCAGCCTTCCTCTTTTCAGAATTCTCCTTGTCTGCTTATCCCACCTATACTTCCTGCCTGGCTACTGGCCGGCCAATCAGCATTTTATTTATCAACCAATCAGAGCAACACATTCACAGCATACAGAGTGATGTCACCCACAGAGGAACTGGGATAGTCAATGCAAAACTCCTTCAGCCTTTTAAAGCTATCAGGAGTCCACTGCCTTCTTGGTATTAACTGCTGATATTTGTCTCAAAAAATATATGTCACTGTCACCAGTATAAGTGCACCCTGAGGGGTGGGAACAGGAACAGCTGTGTCTTAGAATCCTGGGCCTGCCACGGGTACATTCCCTGGGATTCCTTGTTCTAGGAGTTCTGTGCTGAGGAGCTGAGAACAGAAGGGATAAACACATCCTTAATTCAAGAAGGTGTTCCCTTTGGGCTGTTGTGTTTAAGGTAAAAGTTTCTTAAGAACATGTAGCTGAAATTAAAATGACACAGTATTCCTCAACCTTTGTTTGCACATGCCCAGTGACATTGTAAACCTTCCCATTTAGTACATTTTGTTTTTCCTACAATAATTTATAATTTTCCAAAGGATTTACAGTTTTTGTTGTTTATTTATTTTTTTGTTTTTGCATCCCAACCAACATTTCCCCTCCCTCCTCTCCTCCCAGTCCCCTGCCCACCCCCATCCCATACATTCTTCCTCCTCTGTTTATCTTCAGAAAAGGGCAAGCCTCCTACGGTTATCAGTCAGCCATGGTGTATCAAGTTGCAGTGAGACTAGGCACCTCCTTTCCTATTAAGGCTGGATGAGGCAATCCAGCTGGAGAAAAGGGTCCCCCAAGCAGGCAGCAGAGTCAGAGACAGCCCCTGCTCCCACAGTTAACGAGTCCCACAAGAAGACCAAGTTACACAATTATGACATATATGCAGAGGGCCTAGGTCAGTCCCATGCAGGCTCCCTGGTTGTCAGTTCAGTCCTTATGAGCCCTATGAGCCCAGGTTAGTTGGTTCTATAGGTTTTTCTGTGGTACCTGTGATCCCACTGGCTCCTAAAATCCTTCCTCCCCCTCTTCCCCAGGATTCCCTGAGCTCCACCTAATATTTGGCTCTGGGAATCTTTGCTTCTGTTCAAAGGATTTACTTTATGGAACATTTTTTCCCTTTTTTGTGCTATTGGAATCTGAACCCAGGTTCTTTCACACCCTAGGCTCAACCACAGAGCTGTGTTTCTAAGTCAGCTTGGTGGAAATTCATTACTTCCAAATTTTTGTGTGAGGCAAGATATGAAATTGTTTGCTAAAGACAGCCTCCTACCATTTCATTTACTACACAATGGCAGGCAGTTTCTGCTTTCATTTTTTTCTTTTTAGATTGTGTGTGTGTGTGTGTGTGTATGTGTGTGTGTGTGTGTGTGTGTGTGTGTGTGTGTGTGTGTGTGTGTGTGTGTGTAGGGGCTCACAGAGGCCAGAAGAGAGCATCTGATCCCCTGGAGCTGGAGTTACAGGCAGTTTGTGAGCCACCCAAAGTGGGCTCGGGGAACTAAACTCAGGCCCTTTGCAAAGGGTATGTTTAACTGTTACACTGTCCTTCTGGGCCTGCAACCTCAGCTTTCTAAAATGAAAGGGGCCCAGAAATAAATAGAATCTCTTCAAATAAAACCTTGGCCAGAAAACCTCACTTCACCCTCACTTCTAACAAAATCATTTTCTGATTTCCCAACTCACAGAAAACAAAGGAAAGATGCTACACCACAGTCCTCAGGTTCTGTGTTAGTAAAATTTGCCATGCAATAGTTTTAGGTGCATAAGTTAAAAAAAAAAAAAAAAGAATTCAGAGTGTCAAGGTGCAATAGTAACTGTTGAGACCACTCAGGCCACTTCACCGTACTGTGGCATGTCTTGGTTCCATAGAAGAGCCTACAATACCAACACCATGCCCTGGGCATCTGAGCCACATGCCCCAGGAATACAGTGGCTACTCATTTTACACCAAGAAGGGGAAACTGTCCCATTCTCCAGAGACATGACCATCTCTCTCCCAGTTACTCTCCCGCTTACCAGTTACTCTTCTCTTGCTGTAATACAATATCTGAGAAGCAAGCGTTCTGGTTTGTGGTTTGAGGGGGACACACAAACCATCATGGTGAAGAAGTAGTGTCAGAGATCATGGTGACAGAAATGTGCGAGCAGGTCTCCTCACATCTTAACAGATCAGTAAGCAGAGAAGACAAGAAGTGGGGCTGGGCTATAGAACCCCAAAGCACTAGTGACCCACTCTTCAGTGAAGCTCCACTCCCTGGAGGTTCTTCCGGAACAGCACCACCAGCAGGGGAGAAGTGCTCAACCACAACCCCCTGTGGTGACATTTCCGGTTCAGACAACAGCGCCATGTTGTATCCACAGTAAGCCCAAGAGCAGGACTCTCTCAAGCTGACGACGTTATATCCGTAGGAATTCTGACCAGTGGCCAGACTGGATTTCCTCCATTGGTAGACTGTTCTTGGTCAGCTGAGTGGTTTATGGATCCACATTATCTGCTGGCTCAAGAACACGCAGAACAGGCCTGGAGTGAAGGGTCAGTGGTTAAGAGCACGTACTGCCCTTGAGAGGATCCAGGTTTGGTTCCCAGCGCCCACAGGGCATATCACAACCACCTGTAACCTCAGTTCCAGGAGATTCATCACTTATTCTGGCCTCTGCGCACACACACACACACACACACACACACACACACACACACACACACACACACCCGGTACACGCACGTGCACACACACACTCAAGCATACATAAGATAAAAGAAGTAATTCATGATTTTAAAAAGAATTTACAGAACAGCAGTCAGTGTAGCTGATATCCCAACAGAAACCGCAAAGGGACCCCACCCCTACCCCCATCCCCACCCCCCTCACACACCGAGGACAACTACAGAGAAAACAGGCTGGCCTGAGGACTAGATACTCTTCATGTTATCTCAGTGACATGATTTCCATGCTGCGCTCTGTTTAAACAGATGCGATAACTAACATGAGACTGGAGAAACGACTTAGAGGTTAAGAGTTAGTTCTCTCTGCTCTTCCCAAGGAGCCAAGTTCAGTTCCCGGCTCTTGCTTCAGGAGGTTCACAACCACCTGCAATTCCAGCTCCAGGGGGTCTGACACACTTCTAGACCTGCCAGCACACATGCCATACACTCACACCGACTCACAATTAAAAGTAAGTCTTCAAGATGGCAAGTGCTTGCTAGGTGCCATATCCATGGTGGGTATGTTCTGAGACCTGAGTGGGTACCCCACCCCACACGGTACAGAATTCTGCCTGCCCTGTGCTTTCCACCTTTCACGGTGATGAAAAAGTCCGATTTCTAAACGAGGCCCAACAAGAGATTCAGCAATACCCGGCGGCACAATAATCAGGCAGCACATCACAGTTAAAGCCATTTACAGCTTACCAATTGTTCCTTTCTGGAATTTCCCATTTCATATCTTCAGGATGCTGTTGAGTGACTAACGGGTAGGAAAGCTTGCTTTCTGTATGGTCCTTGTCACCTTCTAAACTGTTCCCTTGGGTTGAGCATCATGTTTTTTCAAGGTACACAGACCTTGAAATGTCATTGAGACGTTATCACTTAACTTGTGTGAATAAATAAAATATCTAGCCCTAGGTGAAGAAATCAGCTGAGATTGGGGCAGTTTCCCACAATTTTACTTCCGTTAGCTATAAATTATATGTGCATCTATACTATGGTAGTGTGAGTACAAGCCAGTTTCCTGTGTATAAACTCATGATTTCATCTCCATGTCTAAGTTGTGGCTGGAAACCTGAGCTCACCAGCCATTGTTTATCTAAGGCTTCCTAGAAGAGCTGGAGAACCTGGAGAGTCTAGCCTGCTGGTTGTGAGTGTTTGCCTTACTCTGTCCCCCGCTCAGGGGCTGTCACTCAACCCTGGCCATTGGTTTGGAGCAGAGCCCTTGCCTCTGACTCAAGTTGCACAACAAAAGCTCTCCTCTGTGGGCTCCTTACCAACTTGGTACCAGGTCTGTTGTATTGCAGATGGGGACATTGTGACCCTAAGTGCTGGATCTGAGCTTGTTCCCACCCACTCTGCAGTGACCAGTTGTGAAAGGCCTCTGTGGTTTGGGGGTCCCTGCTGTGACTGGCAGCCCACCTGCTTTGCTGGTCCCCCATTTTCCACAGCTTTTGATCCTGTGTGTTTGGTGACTAGGACCAGGCTGGTCAGGGGTGGGTGAAGCAGAGCTCAGTGGCAGGGTCAGGTATGGATGCCGTGGGGACCTCTTGCGTGAGTTTTTGTGTGTGTCGGGGTGGGGGGGACAGTGGTCGGGGTGGACAGGAGAAGGATGACTTTAGCAGCTGTTCTGTGGGAGCCCCGGGCAGACAGAACGCTCTGAAGTTCTCTGAGGAAAATATGCAGGGATAGTAGGAGATGGAGACACCTAAGTTTTCTTCCTTCCAAGTGACCTGCCCTTAAAGACAAATCTCACATTGTTGTCACTCCTGATGCAGAAAGCTGAGAAATCTGAGAGATCTGCAGGCACTGGCCAGTGTCGGGAGCTGTTGCCCATACCATGGAAAGGGCGGGTCCCATGTGCTTATCCCCCATGGTCCATAATGCACAAGAATTTGTGCTGGTATTCCACACAGAGCCAAACTCACCTCCTGAGTTTCACATACAAGTTGAGGAGAAAGGCGTCCTATTTGGGAGCAGAAAATAAAGAGCACACACAGAGAAGGACACAGTGTGCACAGAAAGGAAAAGACCCAATTCCATCTCCTACGTGCACCTGAACCAGGCTTGGGCCATTTTATTCCAGCAATGACAGAATCAATATTACAGCACAGCCCTGGAATTGGTAACATTACAGGCAAACAGATGCGATCTCAGGTGTGAAAAGTTCAAAGTAATTTTATGTCATTTGTGTGATGATATGTTGTGTACCCTAATAAATGTTGCCTGAAGATCAGAGGACAGAACAAACCACTAGATTAGACATAGAGGCCAGGCAGTGTTGGCACACACACCTTTAATCCTAGCACTCAGGAGGCAGAGATCCGTCTGGATCTCTGTGAGTTCAAAGCTACCCGGGATTATATAAGTTTGACTCAGTCTAGGAGAGAAACAGCCAGGCAGTGATGGCACATACCTTTAATCCCAGCACTTGAGATCTCACACCTTTAATCCCAGTATGTGGGAAGACACACACCTTCAATCCCAGCAATAGGAAGTAAGTAATATGGTGGGTGGAGAAAGGTATATAAGGTGTGAAGAGACAGGAACTAGAGGCTTTTTCAGGCTTAGGAGTCCTAGAGGTAGGAGGTGCCTGTGGCTTGTTCCTTTGTCTCTCTAATCTTTCAGCATTTACCCCAATATCTGGCTCCGTGCTTTTTATAAAAAGACCATTTAGCAATTCATGTTACACATTTGTTACATGCTGGGGTTTGAATGTTTTTAATACTCAGTTCCCCACTTGTGGTACTTTTACAGCTGTGAGTCCTTTATAATGGGGTTGAGGGTGGAGTTGGTGGAAACAGGTCAACAGAGAAAGTTATTCTGTTCCTCCTGCCTGCTGCCATGACAACAAGCCCCTCCCCCATCCCATGGTCCTACCACCAGGCACATAACTGCCACACCCTTCCTGCCATGATGGACTGGATCCTTTGAAAGCTTGAGTCAAAATAAACCTTTTCTTAAGTTGCTTTTGACCCATATCAGGTCACAATAACGACAAAAGTGATAAACACACTAAGTTGGAGGCTGAGCATCCCAGTCTCTTTGTTTATTGTTCCGTGTCCCCATCTTAGGTCAGGCATGGAAGCTTGAGAAGGCAGAGACTAAAAAGTGTCCCTGTCAGGAGGCCCCACTCATGTCTCCTGTGGGTGTCAGGACTCGGTATCACAGGAGAGGGAGCTCCAGCGAGGGAGGGTGACATGACCGTCTGCCGCCAGTGCTCAGGGAACATGTTCACAGCATTGGCAGCTGCTATTAACGCCAGTCCCAGGCATTCCCCATGGGACCAGACGATGCCTCCGGCTGTGGAAGTAAAGGGTGGAGCAGGCTCACGAGGGAACACCTGTAAATGGAAATTACTCACACACCAGTTAGCAATGCAAGGTCGAGGTGCTGGTGACATTGTGGGAGTCAGCCCGAGGAGCATGAACTCGAAGGAAGGCTGGAAGCAAGGTTTTGTGGGGAAGCTGGTCCCTGAAGATTAAGCGTAAGGACATTTGAGGAGAGCAGCTAAAGACCAAGTCTAGGAGCCAGCAGAGGGGACACCTGTGGCTCTGTCATCCACGGCACGTTCTGAGTGTGCAGCTCAGGCAAGGTACTCTCTACCTTTGTGTCCTCAGTGTCCAGATGCCTTGTGGGTGGAAGGATTATTTAAAACAATGGCTGTCACATTATGTACTTGATCAGTCACAGAAGGCTGACACTGGGGTGGTTTCTTGAGGGTGTGGAGTTTATTAGAAGAGTTATTAATGACATGGACAGACAGATAGACAGCAGCAATATCGGGGCTCTGAAGAAAGTTCAGGCCACAACCAGAGTCAGACAGCATGGCTGGGCCTCTGAAGAGGGGAAACCTAGGCTCTTGTGGCAGAAGTGGGGTTTATACTTTCTGAGGATGAGGAGAAGGTCCACAGCGCAAGCCAGGCAGGAGTCTGGGAAGTGGGTATGGACCAGGATGTACAGCCACTAATAGTTCCTTAGATTTAAACTTCCTCTGCAGGTGAGAAACCCTGGAACTTGAAGTCTGTTAGCTGGGGACTCACCGACACTGTCTCAGTCAGCACCTGGGTATCTGTGAGAAGAGAAGGACTCCTGCAAGGTATTATGGCCTGAGCAGCCGCTGGAGTCTCACATTACAGTCTTACAAACCTGACACCTCGATGTCATTCTGTGTCATTCTAAAGTATTCCCAGGTGGTTAGTCTTGGTTGCAGAGCCTAATTTGGTAGGACCTTGACTAATTACAGCCCCAACTGCAGCTCTGGGTAGTTTCTCACAACAGCCTATATGACACTTTTTGCTTTTATCCTACCCTATTTAACTGGCCCATGTTATTTGTCAAATGTATTCATTCCTGAGCTAGGGAGATAGCTCAGTTGAAAAAGTATTTGCCACAGTCATGAGGACCTGAGTTCAAGCCCCAGTCTATGTTAAAGAAAGGTATGCTGGCACAAGCTTAGCCAGGTGGGGCTGAGCTTGCTGGCCTAGCTTGCTTGGCCAGGTGGGGCTGAGCTTGCTGGCCTAGCCTGCTTGGCAAAGTCCTGGCCAGTGAGAGACCCTGTTTCAAAGGAAAAAGGTGGTTGGTGCCTAAGGAACGACACTTGAAGGTGTCCTCTGACCTCCAGATGCACACACACACACACACACACACACACACACACACACACACCAACACAAGCATGCCACACTCAAGCATACATCCTCTTATAAGTGTACATAGATGTACCGATTTCCAGAATTATCTGTCTACTTCAGGCACCCTTGAGACCATGTCCCCTACTGATGGTATTGCTGTGAACACAAATGTCAGTAGTTACCTCTGTGGCCTATTGTAGCTGAAGTTTTCTCTGGTCCTGCCCAGCCCCGCAGACCCCACAGCTGTTTATAAAATAATCACTCAGAAGCTTATATTAATTAAAACTGCTCAGCCATTAGCTCAGGCCTACCACTGACTACCTCTTACATTTAAACTCAGCCCATTTCTGTTAATCTATATGTTGCCATGTGTTCTGTGGCTTTACCTGTGTACTGTTACATGCTGCTCCCTGACTCAGCCTTCCTCTTCCCAGAATTCTCTTTGTCTGTTTATCCTGCCTGGCTACTGGCCAATCAGCTTTTTATTTATCAGCCAATCAGAGCAACACATTCACAATATACAGAACATCCCACAGCAGCCTATAGAAGGACCGAGGCTTCATTTTTGTAAGAGGAAACCTGGTCAGAGTGAAGATCATTTTAAAATCAGCTACCATTAGAAATATTTCTTTTCCCTATAGAAATTTAAAACAATGTTTTCTTGTGTCTTGTCAGTATTTAAATGTTGCAGTTCATGACCTCATCTGTCCAGGTGATAACAAACCAGCTACAAAATGGGAATTTGTTTTCCCTGGCTCTTGCTGTACAATAATAATAGTGTTCACAACAACAGTGTTCTGTTGGGACTTGCAGGAGGCATGAGAGGAGGCACACACACATATATGTGTATGTATATTAATGGTATGTGTGGTCTGTGTGTGTATGGTCTCTCTCTGTGTGTGATATATGCATGTGTGTGTGAGTATATGTGCATGTGATGTATGTGTGTATGTGTATATTGGTGTGTGTGTATATGTGTGACATATGCATGTGTGTGAAAGTATGTGGCATATGATGTATGTGTATGTGTATATTGTAGTATGTGTGTGTGAATGTGTGTGGTTATGTGGTGTATGGGTATGTGCATGTGGTATATACACATATGAATACAGGCACACACTTAATGCATGTGCAAACGGAGCCCAGAGGTTGACTTCGGGTGTCTTCCTCAATTGCTTTCCACTGTACTTTTGGAGACAGGGTCTTTCACCTAGGCTTGTTGCCAGCAAATTCTGTGGCTCTTCCTGTGGCCACCTCCCAGTGCTGATGTTATAGATGTGTACTCCCACACCCAGCTTTGACATGAGTGCTGAGGATCCAGACTCAGGTTCTCCTGCTTATACAACTGGTGCTTTACCACTGAGCCATCTCTCCAGCCATGAGTGCCTTCCGACCCATCAAGATGAAATCACATTCAGGAATGCTGGAGTTGTGCATAATCCACACTGCCTACTGATTCTTTGATAATAGTCCCAGTTGCTCCATTAAATTTTCACACCATTCCTCAGCACTGTGTCCCTAAAATGACAGTATGAAAAGAAACCATGGGGAATATTACTCCCAATTACTTTATCCTGCTGCTGCTGCTGCTGCTGCTGCTGCTGCTGCTGCTGCTGCTGCTGAACCCTCACGTCTCAGATTTTCTTCCTGGTCTTGCATCCCTGTTGGAGGGTAGTCCTAAGAGGGAGACCCATGCTTCTATGCATAGCTGAACCAAAGTCTACACATGTTCCTTTCAACAGTTCTAAATCTGGTTCTGGGTGGATCTATTTACCTCTTCAGGATTTTAGTTTATTCTTCCTCAGAATGGAAAGACACCACCTATCTCCACACTCAGGAAGGGCATTGTCTGTTAAAATTAGCAGAGCATACATCAGACAAGGATTTGGGAGATAGAAAAATGGAATGATTTCTTTGGCACCCCCTAGGCCCTTGGAATTCCAGGAAGGGCCTTTGCAGAGACTCGGGCCCCTTGTAAGAACAAGCAGAGGATGGCAAAGAAAATCAAGTGTGGGAGAGTCGAGGTGGTACACACACAACAGGAACTGAGCTATTTCAAGAAAGGTGTGAGCACAGAAAAATCAATATAACGTCAACTATTCAAACATGCCAGCCCTTTCTTGCTAGGAAATCCCTTTCCATTTATGTCTTAACATTCCTGCTCAATCACCTTAGTGGGGGATCCCGGCATCCTGGACTAAAGCAAGACTTAATGGCCAGGATCCTGGAAGATAGAGACCTACTGTTCATCTCTCTCACCCTTGCTTCCCTCTGTTCCATACAGGAAAGGGTGGGGGACTGAAGGTGATAGTTGCCTGCATAAACTTAGGGTCTCAAGTGTGAGCTCCTCCCCTGGGTGAGCCCCTGTGTTAGTTCCTTGTATCAGTGCTATGATAAAATACCTATCAAAAGCCACTCAAGGAAGGGTTTGTTTGGCTCAAGTGCATGGTCCCGAAGGCATGGTGACAGAAGCACAGTGCATCTGCAATCAGGAAGCAGAGATGAACACTGGTGCTCAGCTCACTTTCTCCTTTTTATTCAGCTCAGGACCCTAGCCCATGGCATAATGCCACCCACAATTAGGGTAGGTTTTCCTACCTCAATTAACTCCCTCACAGGCATGCTCAGAGGCTTGTCTGTTAGGTGAGACTAGATCCTGTCTGGGTGACAGTCCGTATGAACCACCACAGTATCTTACAGGTGCACACGAAATGGGAACCCGGAGCAGCTGAACCAAGTGCTGTGACCAGTGGTCTACTCTTTGATCCAGACACTGCAAGTTTCCTTCCTAAATGAATATACAAATGTAGCTAATGGAGCTAAGAGAGGCTCTTCCACCAGGCAGGCCTTAGTTTAGACAGTTATACACATGCTTCATTTTCTTTTAACTTTTGACTGGCTGAAGGTTCTCACCAATCATGTACTGTCCCGTGCTGAGCTCATGACAGTGGTCTTTCCTTGCTCTTCTCTCTAGACTTGACACACCCCTCTTCATTCATCTACACAACAGATCTTTTCCTCAGTGGGTCCTGTTACTGACACTATGCATCCTTCCTGAGGGGCCTAGGGTCCTTAGAGGCTGCCTGGAGTTGGGCATCTCACCGGTGTCATAACCTAGGACTTCTTTGTTCCTCTAAGGTATCTAGGGGAATTAGCATGCTGATGAAGTAAGAAGAGCATACTCTGTAAATTGTTCATGTGCATTGTAGCAAGCTTTCTTGTCAGGCTGTCTTAGGGCCACCAGCCTACAGATAATGACTTGAAGACTTACTACTAATTATGAAAGTTTGGTCTTTAGCCTAGGCTTGTCCCCAGTTAGGTCTAATAACTCAAATTAACTTGCTTCTATTCATCTACATGCTGCCACATAGCTCGGTTACCTCTGCTCTGTACCATATGTCCTACTTCTTCAGGGTCTCATGGGTGTCTCTCTCATAATCCACGCACCTAGATTCATCTCCAGTTCTTCTCTCTCCCTGGAAATCCCGCCTATCTTTCCTGCCTGGCTATTGGCCATTCAGCTCTTTATTAAACCAACCTCAGTGACGCATCTTCACACAGTATAAACAAGTATTCCACAACAGTGCTTCATAGTGATGAAGGCCCAGGTGCCATGCCCTGCACCACTGAGCACACAGCAAGATATGCCATTGCAGATGAGTGTGCATGGTTGTGTGAACAGGGCTGAGAGCGTGCTCACCTATCTAAAGTTAAATTCCTACTTTCCATGCAAGTCTATGGACCTGAGTTTGAATTCCCAAAACATACAAAGTATTTTTGCTTGTTTGCATTTTTAAGTAAGATGAAGTGTCATGAACCTGTATTCTGAATGTTAGGGAGATAGAGACTGGAGAATCTCAGAGGCTCTCTGGTCCACCTACCTAGCAGAATCAGTGAGAAATCCTGTCTCAAAAAATTAAGAATTAAGTGGAGAGTGACAGAAAAAGACACCTGATATTGATTTCTGGTCTCCATGTGTACCTATCTCTCTCTCTCTCTCTCTCTCTCTCTCTCTCTCTCTCTCTCTCTCTCTCTTTCTCTCTCTCTCTCTCTCACACACACACACACACACTTTGTAAACTGCCCCTCAGCTTCCATTCACCTTCTTCTTCACTCCCTGCCATCACTGGCACCAACTTGATGCCCATTTGTTCTGCCCGCCATTAGCTAGTGTTCTGACAGCCTAGCTCTGTCCCTGTGCCAGCCTGCGCCACAGTATCTGCTTTGTGGCAGCTGCAGCTCTGTCCCCACTGTGTCCAATTTTCTTGTCCTTCCTCCTTTCTGCCTCCCCACCTGCTATGTCCCAACATGACATTTATTTCTAGATCCTTCTGTTGTCCATGCAAAGATGTCATTTTAAATGACGCTAAACAAACCCAATTTCCTCCCAGCCCCTTCCTGTATAGGCTTAGTCACATCCCTCCTGAGATTTCTTGTTTTAATCTGGATGGATTTTTTGCATTTGCCTTTGAATGAGTCTGTCAGTACATTGGACAGGAGCCATGTCTAAGTGTGCCTGAAAAAGTTCTTGTATGAAATTAATTTTATTTCTTGATGAAATTAAGCTCAGTATACATATAAGATAGGAAGGTGTTTGGAAAGCAAACTTCTCTTAATATTAGGCCATGGTAAATGAAATACTGGAGATGAAGATAGGAAATGAGTATTTATTTTACCAAAAATATGTGTTTCCATGAGACAGCAGACATTATTCCATATATGTGAAATATACCAGCGAATACAAAGACAGAAATTATTGCTTGCCCTTACACAGCTTTAGTATTTGGTTATCTTAGTTTGTTTTTCTCTGATATGGTCTTATGTAGCCCTGGGCTGGCCTTGCACCTGCTATGAAGCAGAGAATGACCCTAAACTTCTGACCCTCCATCCTCCACCTCCTGAGGGCTGGGATTGCAGGCATGAGCCACCTTGTCTGGTTTACGTGGTGCTGGGATCGTATCTAGGGCTTTGTATATGCTAGGCAAGTACTCTATTAGTTGGGTGGCATCCCAAGCCCAACAGCTTGATTTAAAAGGCTCTAAGTGGAGCTATAGAGATGGATCAACAGTTAAGAGCATTGGCTGCTCTTCCAGACAACCAAGGTTCAGTTCCCAGCACCTACACTATCTGTAACTCTGGTTCCAGGGAGTCTAACATCCACTTCTGGTCTTCCTCGACACAAGGCATGCATGTGACAAAGACATACATGCAGGCAAAGTATTCATACACATGAAATAAAAATAAATCAACCTTTTTTAAAAAGGCTATTACTCTACATGCCTGGCCCAGTTTAGCTATTTTATAAATCTTACTTCATCCTCTCATGTCCGCACAAGGCAGGTACACTCCCTTGTGGAGTTGGGGATATTCTCTTGCCTGTGTGAGTCCGCATTCTCTCATTTGTGAGAGCGGTCTGCTTCTTAGGTGTCAGGGGAGAGCACTGGTCATTGGCCGGCGCCTTCTCTCTGCCTGGCATTTTTACTAGGTGATTTGTAAGCTTATCTTCCCAGACAGGCCTGTGAAGTGAATCGCTTGGTCTCGATTTTCAGATGAAAAAGCAAATTGTCAGGGCTAGCCGAGCAAGTTGGTGAAAGTCAAATGCCTCTAAGCAGCAAAGTAGAATAATGAAAGTCACATGACCACCTAATGGCAGAGCATGTTACTCGAGTGGTTAGGGTCATAGCCTGGGAAGGCGCAGTCCCAACACACTAGACTCTGTATCAGTTCCCAAGGGGACAATTAAAGAGACAAGGAACTGAAGAGCAGAGAAAGAAGATTCTGCATTGTGGCTACACCAAGTAGAGAAACAAATAAAGTAACCCAGTGAACCCCCTCCCCCAAGCCCATCTTCAGGGTCCTGACATGAGGTTTATGTTTATTTGTTTTGTTTCTCCTCCTCCTCTTCCTCCCCTTCTCTTCCCCCTCCCCCCTTCCCTCCTCCTCCTCCTCCTCCTCCTCCTTCTTCTTCTTTTTCCTCTTCCTCTTCCTCTTTCTCTTCTTCTTTTCTTCAAAAACAAGATTTCTCTGTGTAGCTCTGGCTGTCCTGGAACTTGCTCTGTAGACCAGGCTGGCTTCAACTGCAGAGATCTACACCTGCTTCTGACTCCCAAGTGCTGGAATTAAAGGTGTGCACCACCATGCCCAATCCTAAGTTTTATGTTTAAATAGAGGGCAAGAAGTATGAATCATGCAGTCCAGGTCAAGGTGTGGTCCTGCCCATCACCAGCCCATCATTGTCTCAACTCCAGTCTGTTTCATGGGTTGCCAGTTGTCAGAATTGTGTGACATCTCAGTCCCACTTCTAGCTAGCACCAGGCCTTTTCCTTCTCCCAGATTAAGATTCCTGAGGAATTCCAATTTCTTGGAGGCCCTCTTTAGGTAGTCTGGTGCCTAAAGGAGAGCACAAGTGTAGCTAGAGTTTTCCTGCCTGGCCCACGGTCAGGGCAAATCTCTCTCACCTGCCAGTCCCACAGGCGCTCAGACCCGACCAAGTAAACATAGAGACTTATATTGGTTACAAACTGTCTGGCCGTGGCAGGCTTCTTGCTAACTGTTCTTACAACTTAAATTAATCCATTTCCATTAATCTATACCTTGCCACATGGCTCGTGGCTTACCGGCATCTTCACATGCTGTTTCTCATCGTGGCAGCTGGCAGTGTCTCTCTAACTCAGCCTTCCACTTCCCAGCTTTATTCTCCTCCTTGTCCCGCCTATACTTCCTGCCTAGCCAATGACCAATCAGTGTTTTATTTATTGACTAATCAGTAACACATTTGTCATACAGAACATCCCACAGCAAGTATAGGACACGGTAACTGGATCAAGAAGACCTCTGTGGTACTGAAGTAGTTCTATATACTGGCTGTAGCAATTACATGAATCTGTACATATGATAAAATAACATGGAACTACATATATACCAATTACCAAAAGCAGGAATGCTTCTGTTATATTACACTATGTTAGATGTAACCACTGTAGAAACTGGGTGTCTAGTGTAGAGTGTATGTTTATATTAGCTTTGTAACTTTGTATCCAATCTGTAATTATCTCAGAATAAAAATTTACAAGTAAATATTGAATAATAAACAATAAGCTTCTAAATGACTGCTGTGGGGAAATATCTTATCTACTAAAGTCCATGATTTGAAGAAAGTAGGTCAGCTTGTTTTAGAACTTTTTGTTTGTGGTTTATAGAAGGAAACAGGTTTGTAAAAACTTTGTTTAGTGCTTACAATCTTCTAGTTGAGAAAATTTACTGTTACTATAGTGTAACACAAAATTAGACAGAAATGCTTTGTAAATATATCAAAAATTAACATACTTAAAATGTATCTAGATTTTAATGTATACTGCTTTCTCTCAGAAATTAAACTCACTGAATAATTCTGGCTAAATCCAAAGACACAAGCTTAAGTTTAAGGAGTATATCTCTTTAATCTATTTAATACAGTATGATTTTATTTTGGATATACTAAGCACAACAGCAGACACAGAAGAAAATTAAGAAGCCATTTACAATGAATAAAACATAATTCCTTAGAAAAAAAGTAAAATGCACACGTTGTTCATACAGTCAATGTTTTAATAATCCACCATATAAACTAATATATACAAAATGTCTTATGATCTGTTGCCACTTAAATTAACACATCATATAATTCTTAAACAAGTGTTGACTTCTAACCTCTGCTCTTCTTCAGAATTACCTTTGCTGCAGCCAGTATATGATCCTTTTTGATAACTCTAGATTTACTCTCACAAGCATTTATCCTGGACTCTTTTGCCAATCGATGAACAAAGAGTAAGCAATTCAAATGAATCAGGAGGTCGCAACGAAGGTGCGGCTTCTTCTGCTTGAAGGTGCGCCTGAGGAAGGCTCGGGGCACCTTGCGCGTGATCCGCTTTGAGACGGTGGTGGAGACCGCCATCTTCGCGGCGGGTCCACGGCACTCGCCACAGCCCGGGCTCACCCCGCGGTTGCTGCAAGGCTCCCCGGCAGAGGAACTCAGGATCCCAGGGACTCCCCAGATCCCAGGGCCCTCGGTTTGAATCTGCCGCCTGCCACATAAGTGTCTCTTTAGAATGTTCTTTCTCCTAGCTGGACAGCAACAGGCTCAGGAATGATTTCAGACAAGAATCATCGTTCCGTTTTGTGTTTTCCTTGTAAAAATCTTATTCGACAGTACTGACAGACATTCGCACTAAAGGAAATGAAGTCCTTGCCACTTCTCTATTAAATCTAGAGATCTAGTAGAATCCACATGGTTTAGAGAGGGTGCAGTAAATGATGAGTTGATGCAGGAAGTAGGGAGACTTGGCCTCAGCTCTGGAACTAATGTGTGCTGGTTTGCAGAGCCTCCGGAGCAAATCAAAGCCGATGGCCAAGACATGACTATCGATTGAACTTCTGGACGTGATTGTGGATGTCAGTCATGAGATCGAGAGGATCTGCAGTCATGTGTGTTGGGGCCCGGGAGCAGATGCAGCTATCCTGGATGGGACTGTAGTAGAGTCATGAGACAAGGGCAGACCAGAGACACCAACACTGAAGGAGATGGTCCCTAAACTCCACTCTGGAACAACTTGTTTTATATCAGTTGCTTTTCTGCTTGTTGTGACAAATGTCTGACTAAAACCACCTAAGAAAGGAAGGGTTTGTTTCGGCTCACAATTCTGAGGAGTTACAGAACATTATGGAAGAAGGCATGATGGTGAGAGCATGAGGTGGCTGCTCACATCACATCTGAAGTCAAGAAACAAAGGAAGAGGGATGTCGGTTGTGAGTTGTTGGTCCCTGGAATGGTGTCACCCACATTTAGGATGAGTCTTCCCGCTTCAGTCAACTTAATGTAGAAACTGCCTCACAGGCATGCCTAGAGGTTTGTTCCATGGGAAATTCTAGGTGCCCAGCAATTTGTCACTCAAGATCAACCGCCTCAGTTGCCTAGGACAATTCACCCCAATGTTTTCAGCTCATGACAATATGAATAAGACCCTGTTGGTGAGACACCTGTGATGAGTGGATGAGGCTATTCATGCAGGAAGACAGCCAGGACCTGTGACTCACTTTGTTGCTAGCCACTAGAAGTCCGAAGGCCTGTGTAACTCATGTAATCCCTTCATGGTCAGCTCATTGGGATGTTCTGATCTAAACCCAATGTTAGGACCCAGATCCCAAGCCCTTCTCCCGAGAGATTCCTGTTTAGCAGACCCAGAAGGCCAGTTGTGTGATATGCGGCCATGATGCCGAAACAGGAGAATTGAGGGTCTTCCATTAAGAAACTCAATTTAGAAAGCTGAAAACAGAATTGAAATTTAAAAAAGTAATCCCAGGCTGAGGAGATAGCTAGGTTGTAAAATGCTTGCCTTGCAAGTATAAGGGCTTCAGTTCAATTCCCCAGGATCCAAGTTTAAAAAAACAAAAACAACAAAAAACTTGGAGCGGCAGTGTATCCGTGCAATCCGAGCACTGGGGAGGAAAAGGCAGCAGAATCTTTAGAGCTCATTGGCCAGCCGGCCCAGCATGTTGGATGAGCTCCAGGCTAGTGGGAGACCCTGGCTGGGGGAAAAAAAAGATGAAAATCACATAAGGAATGGCAATCAAGGCTGTCTTCTGGCTTGTCCATGCACAGGCGAACTCACACACACGTGACCTTGCACATGCCTACGCCCACTCAAAAGTTTAAAAGAGTCCTTAGTAAGCAAACAATGCCACCGTAGAGCTAGTTGGCACAGAGCCTCATGGATCTAAGTGACCTTAAATCATACTATCTTTGTGGTTCTTTCCTAGTGGGATACAGTTTGTGGCAAGGAGGGAAGGTTTGCAATTAGAAAACACTGATACGTGTGCAGTGTCACAAAGGTGTGGGTGCCAGCGGTGCTGTTTTTATGAGACTCACATGGGTTTGGTGGGCTCACCCAGGGGTCACTGCAACGCGGTCAAAAAGAGACTTCTGCAAATGCTGGAAGGCATAGATTCAAGATGGATGTGGCTGATGAGGACATTCATGTCCTCAGCACTGGGAGCGTTGGATCTAAATTCATCTGCCTTCCCTGTTTTCATAGTTCTCTGGAGAACAGCCTGGTCCTCAGTATGGGGCAGGAAACTGTGGTCCTGGAACACTTTGTCAGATTCTAAGTAAAGGAGACTGTCCAAGACTCCTGGAGTTATGTCAGAATGACCCTCCTGCCAATGTGGAGACATAGCCACAAGCCAGAGCAGATTGATGAGTCCATTAATCCAGACAATCTTGGGGACTAGTAAATGCCGGCCATGCTTAGTCCTGAGCTCTTAAAATTATTGACAATTTTTGAAGCTCATTTTTAATCTTCAGAAAATAGTAGAAAACTGTTCTATTTGAATTCTGAGGAAAAAGAAAAGAATAAAAATAACTATCCTTTTTTCTTTTTTATAAAGAAGTTTTATTTTATTTTTAGTTGTGTGTGTGTGTGTGTGTGTGTGTGTGTGTGTGTGTGTGTGTGTGTGTGCACATGAATGTAGTTAGCTATAGAAGTCAGATAGGGATGTCAGATCCCCTGGAGCTAGAGCTACAGGTGATTATGAACCTCTAAGCATGGCACTGGAAACTGAACTGAGGACCTCTGCAAGAACAGCAGGCTCTCATAACCATCCCTAAGCCATCCCTCCAGCACCTACCCTACTTTTTCCTATGTAGTCATATGACTAAACCCATTCTGAAAGAAATTTCTTAATTGAAAATAATTATAAAAATCATAGGTGACAAGAGCCATCCACTGAATTCAGTGGCTGTCTGTCTGTTATCGTCACCAAGGGCAGAGCAGAGCAGACATACTCCCCTGCAGAATTCAGATGCCACTGTTATCTGAACAACTCTCTAGAGATGGAGCCAATCACTTCCAGGAGACTTAAAGAGACTTATGAGACCCCAGTGACACCCTCACCAGCCTGTAGGTCTCATGATTGTTTTGGGGATCTTCAGGATAAATACAAGGAAGAGTGGAAATACTATAATAAGAACTGAACGGATGGAGGGGCACATGGTGAATCTCAGGCTCTGGTCCTTATTAGATTTTAATTCCACTTGCAAAAGAGAACTACCGTAGAGGAAACTGTGAAAACAGTCTGTTCTAAGGAATTGTAGCAGTTGTATTTGGTGATGTGAGATGAGACTGTGTTATGTTTTACTTTGAAAGAGTCCCACACGTATTTTATAAGCATTTATGAAACTAAACACTCCCATACCAAGTGAAAGGTTGTCTGGGAGGTGTTTCAGAACAATTCAGGCATTGGAGAGGGAACAAATGAGATAGAGATTAACAATATGGTGGTCTATGGGGTCACCATCTCCCCCCACGGGGTCGCATGGCTATTCATTTAGTATAACGTATGGAACCTTTCTTGAGTGGGCAGAACAAACCTAGATTCATTAAGAAAAGTAAGGAAGAACTCTGGATAGTGGGAGGGGTTTCCAGGGAGGAATTGTACCTCCTTGTCCGACCTCAGTGGGGTTTTATGGATCCTATAGAGAGAACAAGGTGGAGACTGGAGTATAATCTTTATTGGAATTGGTTGTTTTTGACCACATCATGGGTCAAGCCAGCAAAGAGTTCACATACCCTATACATGCTCCCTTGGACCAACACGGACCAGTGAGAGGAAGGGTTACTCTTCCGTTCATGAGAGGCGTAACTTGTGCTAAGAAAAGAGCCCATAACCCACTATGGGCTCAGCCTAAGGGAACTAACTCCTGTCTCAATTATACCGTTCTCTTTATTTTTAAATGTACTTGAAAATGTTAAAAATAAAAAGCAAAGGCACTTAAAACAACAACAACAACAAAAACAAAACCAAAAAGAAAAAAACCCTAAGAGTGAGCTGGGAAAAGGAGAAGGATAATTCTTGAGAGATAATTCTTGAGTGTCCATGAAAGGTCATGGACTCCCAAAGGCCAAGGAAATAGGGTCCCAAGAGGACAGAAAAGGCTGGAGGCAATGCCACAAAGAAGCCAGGGCAGAGTGCAGAAGTGCAGAGCTAGGAGGTAGAGGGCTGAGCTGGGAAGGAGGGAGCTTGGAAAGCCATCTGCCTGTGATCAGATAGGCCTTGCTGGATCAACTTGTCCAGGTGTGTGTGTGTGTGTGTGTGTGTGTGTGTGTGTGTGTGTGTGTACGCACATATACAAAATGCACATGTATAACTATGTATGCATGCTTGTGGAGGCCAGATGTCACACTCAGAAGGTACCCACCTTTTTTTGAGACAGGGTCTCTCCTGACCCAGAGTTTGCCAAATAGCCAAAGGTGACTAGCCAGTAAGTCCCAGGAATTCAACTGTCTCTTCCACCATAGTTTGTGAATTACAAACACACTGCCATGCTCAGCGTTTCTCAGATGGGTTCTGTGGCTTGAACTCGGGTCCTCGTGCTTGTGTGGCAAGCACGTTACTAACTGAGCCATCTCCCCAGCCCTTGACTGTTTTGAAAACGGAAGATTCTTGAACATGGTAAATGCTTAAGAAGGACTCCCACAGAGGGAAAGATGTTATAATGCATGGAACATTTAGACAACACAGACTTTGACTGATCAGCATTTTTGAAGAGCTGAGAGATGGGGAGGATGGAAGTACTGAAGAGGTCTCTTCAAAGCACCGTGCTCCCAAATGAGTGCTCATCAGAATCACCAGGAAGCTTAGGAAAATGAAATCTCTCCTTGTCTCCAGCCCTTGAAGATTCTAGTCACAAAAATATGGAGATTTTAATATAATATTGAAAGTTACAGTATTTAAAAGTTGTCCATTGAACTCTGCTGCAAACATTAAATTCACGGAAAGGACTTTCAGGCTTTTCAAAAGGTAAATCTGTAAGTGTGTCCTTGGGGTGAAAGAAATATTTCTCTGGCTTGAAAACCTGCAACAAAATAGCAGGCCCAATTAGCCTTCTATAATCACTCAAGGGGCTGGAGAGATAGCTAGGCAGTTCACAGGCTTCCTGCTCTTCAGATAACCCAAGATTATTCCCAAACAACCA